GCATGATCCACTGTGCCCAGCCAATATATTTTACATTAGAAAGCCATTTATTCCTCCCAACAACCCTATGAGAGAGTCAATATTGCTATCTCCATCTTAACAGATTAAAAAACTAAGACACAGAAAGGCTCAGGGACCTGCTTGTCAGTGTCAGAGCCATGATTCAGGTATGAGCATCTGATTCAGGACTCCACTCCTAACTGTGGACTCCAGAGAGTTCAGTAACAACTTCTCGAGTAGTAATTCTCTAAGATTCGACTGGAAGGTTTGGGGATAGGAGTTTTGTTGTTTTCTAGGTTACTTTTTATTTATTTATTTATTTTTGACAAGGTCTCACTCCATCGCCCAGGCTTGAGTGCAGTGGCACAATCACAGCTCACTGCAACTTCCGCCTCCCGGGCTCAAGCAATCCTCCCACATCAGCCTCCCAAGTAGCTGGGACAGCTGGGACCACACGTGTGTACCACCATACCTGGCTAATTTGTGTATTTTTTGTAGAAACAGAATCTCACCATGTTGCCCAGGCTGGTCTCAAACTCCTGACCTCAAGGGATCCTCTACCTCAGCCCCAAAAAGTGCTGGGATTACAGGCATGGGCCACCACACCTGGCCTTGTGAGGTTAATGTTCTAAGTTTCACTTTTTGTTTATCAGTGAAGTTTATCATCATATCTTAACACAACAGTTTCATTCTTTTGCTCATAAAGAAACTCCTCCCTCTCATAAAAATACAGATCTTGGAAGGGCAATGTCTAGTACCTTTATCAGTAAATATCTTAGTTCTCAAGTAACGAGTCAGTAGAAAATGGAAAAGAGCTTCTGGAGAGACTTGGCAATACAGAGATGACCAAAAGAAAGGAAAGGATAGGGAGATCGAAGATTCCCAAAACCAAATCCCACCTTTTCTCTCTCCCCCAGCTCTTTACAGCACAGTGCACCCCTCTATTAACGACCACTCTGCTTAGCAAACAGAAATCTATGGAAGACATGAAGACGGATGGGTTAGTCCAGAGATGCAGGGCCTGGCTCTCAACTCCTCCAGACCAGGAGAGTTGCTGTTCTCACCTCGTGGCCCTCAAAAGATTACCCCTACTTCCGATATAAAGACATCATGTCTCAAGTGGCAGCTCTCCCAATCTTAGCCAGACTCAATCTTGCAACCTTTCTTTTATCCAGACCCAGCCTCCCAGAGACCACACAGAAAGGACCCCCACTTCCCTTTCAGCAGCTACTGCCAATTACCCAATGCTTATTTCCTACTTCTTGGCAGTTTATGGTATCAAGCTATCTTACTTTCATCTATCTGAGTCACTCAAGTACTATTTTGAACAAGGCAAAATACTAATTCGTGTATCAGTAGGTAAACAAAGAAATTACACCAAAAACAAAGCCAGAAGCAATAACGATAGCAATAACCACAACACTGACCGTGTGTGGAATGCTTCCTGTGCGCTCTGCGCTTTACATATCTGATTTAATGTCGCCCTCTCAACACACCTTTGATGTAAGTATGTTACAGATGGGGAAACTGAGGTGCAGGGATTTAAGTACCATGCCCACCTTAACCATAAAGTAGTAATCCCCAGCTCCATCTGTGGGGCCGTCTTTCTGCAAAGTTCAGGCTCCTAATCTACTGGACTCTAGCCTAGACTCTTCATTCTACTCTACAACCAGGCAGGCTTTGGTTAAAGGAATTGATGTATTTACTTGTTTTTCCCAGAATACTTGCTAAATTGGTGCACTGCTGTTGTTAAGAGTTCAGCCAACTACAGAGTTTGAAAGGAGAGTCCTCACAAGGCTTCCCTCACTTCAGACACTAGCTGCAAGTTTGGGGGTATCCATGCCATCCTTACGACACACCAGCTGGCTACTAATTTGGGGAGTTCACACAAAGAACCCCAGGTTTGATAATTCATTAGAATGACTCAGAGAACTCTGGAAGGCACTATACTTGTGACTTTATTGTCACAACAAAAGGATACAAATTTAAATCCACAAAAAGAAGAAACATGTCGGGCAGAATCCAGGAGGGGTCTAGAGGCAAAGCTTCTGATTTTCCTTTCCCCACGGAGTCGTGGATGGTGTTGCCTCCTCCTGGCCACAGTGTGAGGCAATGCACACAGAGTATTGTCAACAAGGGAAGCTCCCCCAAGTCTGTAGAGTCCAGAATTCTCCTTGGGGCTTAGTCACATAATGACTTAGTCACTTAAAGTCCATATGGCTGACTTTAAGTCTCCAGCCCTCAGTGGAGGCTCAGGTCAATATCTTACACCTCCAATTCCTCTGGAGATTAGAATTGATATGGTGTGTCCCAAAGCCCCCATTATGAAACACACTGTTGGGCTGTCCAGTTGCCAAAGCCCTCAGACAAACAAAGGCATCAGGCTGGACACTTCAGGGGATTGCCTCCCAGGAACCAAGGGCGAAGCCCAGGCACCTCTTTTGGTCAGTTCTTCAGTACACAGCTGTATACAAAACACAAAAGTACCATGACAAAGATAAAAGCAGAGAGAAGGGGCGGGGAGAGAGAGAGAGAGATAATATCCACAATTTTAATTTTAGAGTTGAAATATACTTCAAAAGAGCATGTGGTCTAGTACCTGGGTTCAAGCAGATGATGTATAAGACTGTACTGAGAGGGTCTAGAACAGTTGTCCAAGGTCCCACAGAGGTAGACCAGAAAAGACCCTATGAACCTTGATATCTACTAAAAGCATTCATTACCCTCTATTGTGATGCCACATATACTCCCCTCCAAATCTCACTTGCCTCTCTGAAATGTCACATCAGTTGCCTGGGGTTTGGTGATGCAAACATCTCTCAATACACAACATGCTGAACAGACCCTCCCTTTCTCTCCCCCTTTGAAGATTCCAGGCAGGATCTTAGAGTGAATGGTTTACTATCATCCAGATTCTCAGCTGCTGGAGCCTGCTGGTTCACATCAAGAGCTCTGGGGATCCAATCCACTCCAGAGAATCTGGGGAAAAGCCACCTGCTCCTGGACTCAAGTTGTGGTCCCAGAAGGGATCACCATCTCTGCTAAGACACACACCATCCCAGCCAGGAGCAACTGTGCAGAGCCAGGGCAACACCACGACAAAAGGAAGGCTCAGGTCCTTACTCTGCCCCAACAAGCTCTTTCAGGTTTCCAAGTTTCCCTTTTATTCTTTGTGAAATGAAAGAGCTGGCTTAGAATCTTGATGCTCCGAGTGGGGTCCAATGACCAGCACAGGCATTACCAAGGTGCTTTCTAGAAATGCAGGCTTTCCAGCCCACCTCAAGACTACCACATTTAGATCTGCATTTTAACAAGAACTCCAGGTGATTCCTGTGACCATTCAAGTTTAAGACACCAACTTAGAGCATCATTTCTAGGTCCTTCCTAAGACCTACATGCTGTGATTCTTGAAAGGCTCAATTTCCAAACTGGGTTAAGATGTCTGTTAGAACTGGGGGAAGCCAAGCTTCTAATCAGGAGTGGTCAGAAAGTGGAGTCACAGAAGGCGTCGGTGAAACCCAAAGCCCTTGGACAGGCAACGCTGGGACCGGGAAGCGGGTGGAGGAGAGCGGTTCATTTTTTCCATAGGCTTGCTGCGTGTGCCAGCTGAGGTCTTTAATGTAAACCCTCCTGTGCTTCGACCTAAACAATGAGTGTAATTATGGGCTCACTTACCCCCTTCAGACACAGGGCTCGGGGTCGGCCCTCCACAGGGTCCTGCAGGAGGTCTTGTTTCTGAGTCAGGGGGGCCGCTGGTTAACCAGAGCAGACCCAACTCTGCGGGGCAAAGTTGACATACCAGCATAATTACACGTAGGTTGACCATATTTACTGCAACTCTGTTGTTCTAGAATTTCAAACAAAGGCTGAACCCTAGGAAAACACACCACTAAGGAGAAGCAGATTGTCCTGAGTGATTTATTGAATACCAAAAGAGAGGGAAAGAAAGAGAAGAGAATTATCAGAGACCCACACATACTTCCCTTTCCTCCTGTCTGGCCTAAGGAGAACAACCAGTGACCACCACTTTCCCTCCCTACCCAATGGAAAGGCTTCAAACACTAACATTTTGCTTTTTCAGAGGCATGTCTTCATGCGGCCACCTCAGATTCCAAAAATCTGTTTAGACTCATCGGAGGAAAGCAGGCAGCAGCAGGGTCGGGGGAGAGAGCGCTCCTCCTCCCTTCTGACTCACTTCACTCACTCCCCACTGCCTCCTCCATGACATGCACCTACATTTTGTAGAGATATTTTCCAAATGAACAGAAACCTAACCAAGGCTGGAATCTGGCTTTAGAGAAGCCAGAAGAACAGGTCAGGTGTGTTACTGTCCTTTTACTTTGGAAGGTGACTGGTAGGAAGACTCTGAGTAAAAGCCAGAACAGTTTGGCCTCAGGTTTGTCCCATGTAGATTCATCATTGTGATGGAAAGCAGTGCCATTTGCAATGCACAGCTGAGAACTTGCATTGACCTAGCAATTACAGGAAAGGAGCAGTTAGAAATCAGCAGAGCTAGGAAACAGCACCTCACCCAAGAATTAAAACTTGTATACATGTGATTCCCAATAGATCAGGGCTAGAGGGATCTCAGAATACTTGCTTGTGGTTGCCAACCCTGTCCCCACCCCAACACACACACACACACATACACTTACACTTACACTTATAGCTCCCTAGCCAAGAAAGACTTATCAATGTTTACCATATGCCTAACAAACAGAACTAGGGGAAATAGAAGATAGGCTTCTCATCCTTAGAGAGTTTATAACACCTCCAAAGAGACGAGATCAAGTGTGAAAGACAGATTTAACACTGCACAAAGGAATCTAGCAAAGCTCTGAACTGCTTCATGGGTAGAACCGAGTACCTGATAGACCATTGGATAGTGGGGTCAACTGGTAGGAAGCAGAAAAAGAATAATTTACCATGAAGTTACATGGTAGTTAACAGAAATTTGTTTTTCTCTTTTAAGTTGTTTTTTAAGAATATTTTTCTTGGATATACTTACCTGGCAGGGGAGATACCACGACCACAAGGTATCTCCTGAGGGTGAGGCTTATTCATTGCACTCTGCGGGTGCTGACCCCCACAATTTCCCCAAATGTGGGAAACCTGACTGCATAATTTATGGTAATATGGGACTGCACTGGTGCTTAAAAATAATAATTTAAAAAAATATTTTTAGAAAATGCCCAAATTTTTATCCTTTCCTATCAAGAAGAAGAGGATATCCCGGCCAGAATTCCAAGGCAGGGTCATGAGATTCCTAATTCAAAGCCTTGTCAGGGTGGTCATCTGCCCTGTTTGCTGCCTAGGACTCAGGGGGATACATACTCCAGGGCCAGGTGGTGCCACACAGATGACGAAATAACAAGTGATTGGGCTAATTAGCCTATTTACGCTCATAAAATCATGAAAGAACCTTTTGCAAAACTACAGATGTTTTTAGTGTTCAAAAAGTCTGAAAAAGAACACAGAATTAGGAAAGGATTTGGGTCCTACCACATGTTCATGGAGGGAAAGATTTCCTGTTGAATGGAAAATTCCAAATGTGGCCAGTTAGAAACTCTTTGGGCTTAAAGCCCCTCTACAATGCCAGATAGTTCCTAGTGACGTCACTTGAGGTCTCCAAACCTGGGCAAGGGGCAGGAACTGAGCTCAGAAGCCCTAAGATGGGATGGGGCACCCTGGAAAGAACAAGAAGTGAACCGTTCAGAAGTTCACCAGAGATTTACATCAGCATCTTGACTCAGGCCAGGTGTATGATATTCCAGACAAAGAGAGGCATGGAATAGAAGAAAAGGAATAGAAAATGTCCTAGACATTTACCAAACTGTCCACAAGAACAGCAGCCTCCTCTTTTGTGGGCATCTTGCCCCCCAGCTCTGATTTTGTGGTTCTAGCAGCCCATCATAGTCACCCAACCCTCTGTCAGAGAAGAGGGCTCATGAACTGAACTGGTCAGTTTTCCCATCCCTCCAGTTGGTCCAAGGATTGGCATGGGACTGAACAGGGAAACTAGGATTTTCCCCACAAGGAAGAAAAAAACTTTTTCTGCTATGATCACATGAACCAATAAACACCCAGCCCTCCTTTCTTCTTGAACTGGTCCCAGTGATAGGTCTACCACATACAACCAGTGGATTTGTGACTAATACAGGAAGCATGTGGAATTCTCACCAGTTGCCTCCCGGTTTGTTTTAGACTCCCACCCTGTGGCTAGGTCCTAGAGGACACCCTTTGGAAGAGAGAACCATAGCTCAAGCGTGAACTGAAAAAGTGGCAGGGGCAGGTTCCTGCTAGTGGTGATAGCCACATTGTCTTAGACATCGTGGTGAAACAATCATGGGACACAGTGCTAATGTGCCACCCAGCAAGGCTGGTGTTCTGCTCAGCGCCACTCTGTGAACAGAGCTGATGAGAACAGATTCTCTCCATGAGCCCCTCCAATTAAAAGCTGTCCCTACCACTCCCAGCCACCTGCTTTCCAGCAGAGCTAGGAGGAGAACCCACCACCCTTACATATCTCCAGCAAGCACTGAAAAGGGAGTCCAAGGTATCTGTCTATCGAGAGCATGAGAAATCTGCATTTCAATCCGACTTTTTACCAAAGATGGGAACTTGGCTAAGTAACACGATCATTTGGACCTCTCTGTACTCATCTTTACAATGGGGATAGTGAAAGGATCTGCCTGCTCAGACTGTTAAGAATTAAATGTGATAATGTATCAAAAGCATCCAGTACCATACCAGGCACAGCTAGGATTGTCATCATTATTATTGTGGCCACTAGTATTAGGAAGTGCTCTGAAAACTGCACTCTATGAAATAAGTCAGGATCTGACATTGTAAAATCAAAAAGTGCATTCTCCCTGGGAAATAGCTAGCAGCTCCTAGTGGCAAATTCCAGGCTTGGGTCTATTTTTTGCCTTTATAGACTTTCTCATTTATGTTTTGATTTATGAAAACGCATCCATCATTTTCTAAGGAAAGCCCCCAGACACATGAACAAAAATGATAAAAATGCACAACAAAAACAAATAAAACCATTCAGCATGGCTAACAAGTCAGGCATTTGGCCCCAGTGGGGTAGATAAATCCAGAGCTGGGCTGAGCACCGGGACCCAAAGGTCAACAGGCTGGGACTTTGCTGAAGAAATTAAAGAAAGCAGATTCTGGAGCTTCAGCTAACAGCCTACCTCAGATCTTCCGAGAGCCTGGGAGTGAATCTTCCAGAGGCAGCCCCCAAAAGAGTCTCCAAGAGGCCAGTCCAGAAACCTGTGTACAGCTAGCTGCTCTCTCTGCTCCTTCACTAGTCAGTCGAAGAACCGGCAGACTTCTCCAACTATGCCGGGCACCCCATTTACCTCTGTAAGGGAGGGGCCATCTTGGGGAAGGACACTCAGTTAAAAGAACTGGGGCTCCCTAGGGAACATGTCAATCACCACTCTGTCTTTACCCCCTTACTCCAGAGGCATTGCTATGAGGGAACCCCCTCCCCAAAGAATTTGCTTCAAAACTCAACATTTCTAGTTTCCAATACAGCTATCTAATTTTTGCTCGAGGCTGGGAGCATGTGAGAGGAAAAGTGAGAAGGAATCCCAGCAGAACCAGGGAGGGATCCCATGGGGTTAGATGGGTGGGGGCCCTCACTAGCAGCGCACAGGTGTCTTCGTGGAACCCAGGCTAGCACACAGTGGTTAACCGGATTAACTTGTTAACCATGGTTAACAAGGCATCTCGCAGAGCCTTCCCAATGTGACACTCCAGGGGATGACACTCTAGAGGTGTCACCTGGGAGAGGCTTGTGAGATGCCTTCCTGCCCAGAGTCTAAGGGGATTCTCAGTTATAGATTGTCCTGGCCATAATCCACCAAACAAGGGGGTCATTCATAAGCTGCAAAGAGGCCAATGAGGTGGTCTCGTATGAACACTGTGCCCAGTAGGGCTGCCCAAAACTAGATAACACCTGGCAGAACCGATCTGATCTTCTGTGGGGACATCTGACTGAGACATGGGGAGCTGACATCAGAGAGTAATGGTACATGCGGCAGAACAGAAAAGAGTTGCCGGCACTCCAGCTCCCCAACAGTAGCATGGACAAAAGTGGACCTACTTTTGTGGAGCAAAGCCCCTGCTAATAACAAGTATTAATAATAACAGTGTCCATGGAGCCACAGTTGACAACAATACTCATTGCACATAACTTTGTGCCTGGCACTGCTAGGTCCTTACGCGCAGGATCTCTCTGAACCTTGACGAGGACCCCACGTAGTCAGTGCTATAATTATTGTCACCACTGTACAGATGGTAGGAAATTGAGGCTAGAGAGGGGATACAGCAGTAAAGAGCAGAGTTGGGATTTGAACCCAGGCAGTTTAATTACAGAACATGGGGTTTTATTTACCAGATTACACAAACTCTGTCAAATCCCATATGGCCATGGACAATACTCCAGTTCTCGGTGAAGCCCAGTTGTGACTCCCTCACCTCCCAGCACGTCCTTCCAATAATCCCTCATCACCTAAAGCAATGGGATTACACCACAGTCCCCTTAAACTGCAAGCATCTAACTAATACAGGGACACAAGTGTTCCAGAGAAGTGGCTAGTAACAGCAAAGGAGGACAGACCCTCCAAATGAGGTTCAGTGGCCCCCTTCTACCCTTCTGAACCTTAAAGGAAGAAACACAAGCTAAGCTGAGACATTCTGGACATGTGGCTGGTACTGGTGAAGTTGACCTCTGCATTTCCATCTTCTGGTCATCATAAGGACCTTCCTTGAAGCCAACTAAATCCCTGGATGGAGAGTATCTAAGGCTGGTATTGCCCTGTGCTGCAGAGTAGATAGCTCATCTCCTGAGGAAGGGCCACTACCAGGGAGGGGCTAGTGATCCAGGCCCAGTTAGCCAGGCCCTCCCCAGTACAGTGTGCTGATGTCATTGAAGAAGGAAGGCTACGTCTTCTCATCTCAGCTGCTGGCCTCTGAGCCCAGGGATGCCTGCCTCATGGAAAGTAAGAGAGGGAGAGGGAGATAGAACCCTGACAACCTGGGCTGGGTGCAGTGACTCACACCTGTAATCCCAGTACTTTGGGAGGCTGACAGATCACTTGAGGTCAGGAGTTTGAGATCAGCCTGATCGACATGGTGAAACCCCATCTCTACTAAAAATACCAACATTAGCCAGGCATGGTGGCATACGCCTGTAATCCCAGGTACTCGGGAGGCTGAGGCAGGAGAATCACTTGAACCCTGGAGGCAGAAGTTGCAGTGAGCCGAGATCATGCCACTGTACTGTAGCCTGGGCCACAGAGTGAGACTCCATCTTAAAAGAAAAGAAAAGAGGAGAGCTGCGGTGGCCCTTCGTGCAGGAAATGAGGCAGTTGTGTGGCCACCCTGTAAAAGGAAAACACTTCCAAACTACTCCAAGGCGACTCAAGGTGGAGATGTCAAAATTAGAGGGAAAGGCTTCCAGCCAAGCACAGAGGAAGGCCATGAAAGAACTTCCTAATCAAAGCAAGACCATGCAAAGATTCTGCAACTGCAAGACATTTTTCTTTGCTGCTTCTTCTTTTTGGGGGGGGGTGGAGACAAGGTCTCACTCTGACACCTAAGCTGGTGTACAGTGGCACAATTACAGCTCACTACAGCCTCACCCACCCAGCCTCAAGCAATCCTCCAGCTCAGCCTCCCAAGCAGCTGGGACCACAGGTATATGCCATTATACCTAATTTTTCTATTTCTTATAGAGTCGGGATCTTGCCACATTGCCCAGGCCGATCTCGAACTCCTGAGCTGAAGTGACCCACCTGCCTTGGCCTCCCAAAGTGCTGGGATTACAGATGTGAGCCACTACACCCGGCCACATTTTTCCAAAAGACAAATAGACTAACCTCATATTAATCATGGGACCATGAAAATAGGGCAGCTGGCAAGACTTGAGCCAAATATGTAGACTCTACTTCATAAATGAAAACCTCCAAAAAGTCTAAATTTAGTATCTTTCATGTTCGTGCAAAGGACAAGCTTCCTCCATTGAAAGGAAAGAAAGGGAGAGGATTTACTACAGGTGGCCAGAGCTTTTCCCTGGAATGGCCGAAAGGGCTTCTCTGTCCCCAGAGAACTTGGGTTTGGGCTCTAGGGGACCATATGTAATA